GAATATCTGCACATTATCTCAATATTTTGGAGTTACGCAAAGACCAAACACATCAAGTTGCTAATTATACTCCTAAAAACTCGTTGAATATTTAGCGGTTCAAAAGATCTCTGACAGCTCACAATCTCGCTTAATCTCATGTGCAAATTAAGCATTTACAATTTTGTTTTATCCTTCGTAAAGCAAGATAAGTTGAAAAGCACAAAGTTCACATAATTCTCGACAATTTGGAAATAGATATTTCTTATTTTTTTCTTTAATTTTTTTTAACTTTTTAGACAGTGCGAATAAAATTTCACTCTACTTAATTCTCTAATAAGCAATGCTTAATATGGTCGTTATGCAATGAAAGATGCTGAGAAAAGAGATAACGAAGGGTCGTAACTGTAACTTACTCTGTAGTTCACATATTTAACCTATATTTCCTATAGCTATACATTCCCCTGTATCTCAATTTACCTGTGAAAAGCGTTCGAGGAGGCCCTCAATCTACCTAAAAGCCTGAAGGAAACTCCACAAATAATTTTCTGCACTGCCTTCACTTCTTGCTATACTACTCGGTCTTTACTGACCACCACCATAGACACCCTTGAATTATCTTGCTATAAGCACGATTTTCCACCGCAGTAAACTCAAAACGAAAGAACTTGGTTTGCACTACACTCCAGTAATCTAGCTTTTCAAATGCGCTCTCCTAACACAGGACTTTTAACTATTCGTACTCCAAAGTAGCAAATCCATCCCGCTTAGAGATATTCATCAAGTATCCTAGCTATTGCAATGTGGTACAAGACTTGTCATTAACGTTCCGCTCTCCAACCATGATAGACAATACACTTAAAACATTACCAACACTCCACACGAAAAACATACAAACACAAGATATTCTTAATAAAGACAATCATTCCAAAAACACACATACTCAAAGAATCGCCCAAATATAAATATCCTCCAACATCCCGCATCCTGGAAGAAATAAACAAACCCACACAACTTGATACGAAAGTCTGTACATAGATAATACAATACAAATATTGCTACAAGTCAAGAAGATATTAAGTGCAAATCGAATCTCCAAGAAAGCAATCCTTCACTTCTGTGAATCAACATGGAAAATTCATATGGACAATTCCTCCAACCCCTGCCATTATTCAAATTCACACTTTTCTCGAGGATAGTGTCAACATATGGCTTCTTTGCTAAAAAATCATAAAGCCCTACCTCGACTACTGTTATTTCTTACTATAAATTTCTTCGAGCTATAAGTAAATGACAACACGGGGTTGTTGACTTGGTTCAATTGAATTGAATATTCTTATGACTTAAATATCATCGTTGCACGGGATAACGGATATTGTAGAATGTGTTATGGAGAGCTGTGTCGTTAAGGAAGGTTACAAAATTGCAGAACGGCGGATTATGGCCAATCATCTGGTGACTTTATACAATACTTCTTAAGATAAATCCAAGGGTGCGTACGTGCATGGAGGATAAAATTAGCGAGCAGTGGGCTGTTCAAAGAAATGGGACATGTCTTTGTATGGTTGGACCTGATGGACGGTATCATTGGGGCACTTCTGTGATCATGGGTCCTGTGATAAAGATACACACGGTGCTCCAACGAACCTGGAAATTAGCTTCGGAAAAACACAGTCTCGCTATGGCGCCGTAGGATGAAAGTATAGGGCACTATTTAGTATCAGTAACTATGTTTGTCATTGCCTGTATATTATAGATCGTACTGGCTGATATAGACATATGCATTGGTTTGATAACGCACAAACAGGCGCAAAGACGTTTTCTCGAATACATAACTGAAACGGACTTGGGAGATCTATACCTGTGGCTTCGATTGAATAGCATTTATAGATAACAAAAGGTCTAACAATGATTCTTTGGCCTGGTTAGCGAAACGACTGTATAAAATGACCTGAATTCTTATCGTTGAAGAGTAATGACAGGTGAGGGGCGTAGTCGCGAACTAAATGTAGTATACCGTTCATTCAAGCAGTGGATGATTCATGCCATTCTTTGAAATACCACGCGAGAAGAACAAAAAATATCCAGACAAAAGGAAAAGATATTAACAGCGCATTGGATATGTTCGACCTGACTCCGTTCACACGCAGTAGGTAACATAGAACCTAATAATTTCTTAACTATTTATATCATGAGACAACAGCTGCAATTAGATGAAGATCATAGGGGCTGACTATCTATGAGACAGGTCCTCAAGCGATAGACCAAGGCAGAGACAGGAATTTATCTATCGCTATTCTATGGTGACCAAGGGTATTCACACTGACTCTTAGATAACAGACTTACATTGTCAGTCGGTATAAATTGCATTCACCCATTGGAAGGTAACATGAAGCCCTATCGAGGAATTTTACCGGGATACTGATGGCCAAAGGGACTCGAACCAAAGTGTACATAATCACTACCAATACAGTAATGAATGGCATCTCTTAACCAGAGGTTAATTATTAGGGTATGACCAGAGAAGCTCAGTAGTTTTCCAGGAGATGCAAGTTCGTGGACATGTGAGATCTAACAAAATTTCAGTTCCGTCATCACGCATATCTAAACCTTGACGGATTTTGTAAATGATTGAGTGTCTTAGAAGGCAATCGATGTGCTATATCATTCCACTATTGGAGTTAAGCGGTCCAACCCTTCAGAATTAAGTGTTGATATCATCAACCTTGCTCCTTGAACATTTTCATTGAATTGAATATTTTGCTTAATTCCTGTTGCAACGGGAATAGGGTTTGTGATGGTTTTGTGGTCTTGGAGGTTATAATGAGAAGGGGTTATAGGCCAAATACTGTGACTTTTAATACTTTAATCAGGGGGTAGTGCATGGAGGATAAAATTAGCGAGGCAGTGAGGCTGTTCAAGAAAATGGGCATGTTTGGTTGTTGGCCTGATGCGTATATATGGGGCACTCTGTTCAATGGGTTGTGAAATACAGGTGTCACTCTGAAATTGCTTGAAAAAATGGTTGATGGGCGTGGTGAATTTGGCATGATTTGTAAGCCAGATAAAGTTTGTTATGCCTGTATTATTGATCGTCTGTGTGAGGATGGTTTGATAGAAAAGGCGAAAGAGTTTTTTGTACAAATGAAGGACTTGGGGATTTTTCCTGTGGTTGTGTATAGCTAACTGATACAAGGTCTATGTTCTTTGGGTGAGTGGGAAGACGTTAAATGCCTATTTATCGAGAAGGTAGATCGGGGTGTGCAACCTAATGTAGTTACGTTCAGCGTGCTGATTCATGCACTTTGTCGATAAGGAAAGATAAAAGACGCAATTGGATTGTTCGAACTGATGGTTCAGAGTGGTGTAGAACCTAATATCTATACTTATAGCGCATTGATGGAGGGCTACTGTTTGGCAGGTACGATAGAGAAGGCGGCGGAATTTTTTGTTTCTATGGTGACCAAGGGGATTCAACCTGATGTTGTAAGCTACATTGATCAGTGGTTATTGCAATAATTGGAAGGTAAATGAAGCTATGAGATTTTACCGGGATATGATGGCCAAAGGGATTCAACCAAATGTCATTACATACAACACCTTGTTGAATGGTCTTTTCCAGGCAGGTAATATTGGGTATGCACGGAAGCTTTTTCAGGAGATGCAAGTTCGTGACAATCGTGAGATCTAACCAAATTCAGTTACGTATACAATTAACCTTGACGGATTTTGTAAAAATGATTGTGTCTCAGAGGCAATGAATGTGTTTCATACTTTGGAGAACGGCAACTTCGAATTAAGTGTTGAAATCATCAACTGCCTCTTTGATGGCTTGTGTAAAAGAGGGAAGCTTGACATTGCCTGGGACCTTTTCTATAATAGATTGTCTTCTAAAGGTTTGAAGCCAACTGTAGTGACATATAATGTGATGATCCATGGACTTTGTAAAGAAGCGCCAACTGGACAAGGCAAATGATCTGCTTTTGGAAATGGAGGAGAAAGGCTGCTTTCCAAATATGATCACGTTTAATACATTATTGCGGGGTTCATGCCAAAATAAAAAACCACAAAAGTGATTTGATCTTCTTCGTAAAATGTAAGCTAGAAATGTGTTACCGGATGCAGGCACATTCTCAACAGTGATGGACTGGCTCTCCAATGATGATAATTACAACAAATATTTTAAGTTGTTTCCACAATTTCCTATTTAGAAGGTAACATAAAGCGGATATGATAAATGGCAGTCCTTGTCTCAATTTCGATTGTACAACTACAGTGAAAGCTTCATGGATAGGAATAATATTCCAAAGTCTTGTTTAGGCCAGTAATAGTTGAAGTGTCATGGCAAGTTTGGCATGTTGTTGAGATTCAAGGTGCTGAACTGATCGGTCATCTTAGGAATTCGTTAGTTGACCAGAGCACCGTTTGGAGTATTTGAATCCCAACCAAGTCTGCTAATTCTTCTTCTTCGTCCATGGCAGGCAGATTCTTAAAATATAAACAACTTTATGGGCTCAATCTAAGTTGCTAATGTCCATCCAATTGCATGCTCTCTCAAGATCTTTACTTCTGTAATCAAAGTTGCAGTCAAGTTTGGAGTGCAACGTTATCAAAATTTATAAGATTCTCGTTAAAGTTTGAGGCACCACATTATAGGTCAATTTTAATGCATTTGGCGATTCTTAACCTATTAATAATAGAAACTGATTGAGAATAATTAATCCAGTCATCAAATTAAAATTATAACTTTAAATTTTGTCAAAATCCCATTTTGAAATTTAACAGAACTTTGAAATGGTTGTTGTTTAACTAAAATCCAATTAAATTTGTGCAGTTTCAATTTAGATTGTTTTAGATTTTGGAATCATATTATTTTCTTAATCATTACCATAAAGTGAAATTCAACAATCTTTGGATCATTTTCTGATACCAATTCAATGCGCTCCTCTCCTAAAATAGCCAAAAATTTGCAATTTCTTATACAACTAAATATTATATAATGAAATTTTCAAAAACAAAAATTATATAATAAATATCCTACCTTCACAAATCTTGCGAACAAAAAAATAAAATCAGAACAAATTATAGTAGCGGTATAATTTTGCAATTGTGCAAAAAATAGAACATTTATACATGGGTATAGAGATGTAGAAAGTTTGCCAGCAAACCCCTGCTCCCAAAAAACAAATGAAGAAACAATCAATTAAGGGTATAATACCAAACAGTTGATCCTGAACCAGCACTTGAACATGCTGAGCAAGAGAGTGGGAGGGAAATGGGAATAGAATAAAAGGAGCTTGCTATTCAGTCACAGGGTCAAACCCCTCTCCGGGCAAGTATCTCAGCCTTTACCCACTAAAGATGATAACATGTATTAATTGCCTTAATCCAGGCCTTAAACTGAATCTGCTACTTTAATCAGGCACAAAACCGAGAGAAATGGATTAATTTATCCAAATCAAATTCATTGCTAAGACCTAATTTCTATTAAGAAACAACTTTTCCCTCCAAAAGACCGGGCTGAAGCTTAGGCAGTAGTTCAGAAACCACCTTTTGTAAGGCAACACGATTCAATTTATTGTTGCTTCCATTTATGACTTTGTTAGAAAGGAAAGTAATTTCCCTAGCGCCCAAATTCTTTACAAATAAATCATTCCAAAATTCATCATCCTCGTTGATATTTGATTCCCTCATAAGTTCGATTACCTTTTTCAATGTTGCTACATTACGACCGGCGCCACAGCCCATAGCAGTTGCAGCACCCACTGCATTAGCAATTGCTAACGTATTTACCAGTTGCATATTATGTATGAAACCAAATGCAATGGCAGCTACAAAACTATCTCCACACCCAACCGTGTCAATTACATTCACCTGATCACATTTCAAAGCACCAGTCAATTCTTATATTCATTTTCCAAGATATGATGCTGCTTCAAATATATATATATATATATATATATATAAAGCTCTACTTGGAAAGCTTATGCATTGCATATAACAGGTTAATAAAGCAGGGAAAGAAAAAACATAGAAGTCGAGAAGGAAACAAGCATCTTCACTGCATGCAATCCTACACTTCATTTCTTTTTGGAGTTCTATGACAAAAATTGCTTGCTGATTTCACGCAAGCAACATTTCTGTTGAATGGCTTAAGTAAAAAATGAACACATTCAAGAATAGCATTCTAATTAACGCCATAAATGATTTACTGAAACAGAGTAGAATTGTAACATCAAACAAGTGCAAAAAATTATAGAAACATTTTACCTTGAATGCGGGGGCACAAGATATACTTGACATGCTGACTAGAATTGAACCCCTGGAACCCATTTTAATAATCACCCATTTTGTACGCACGCCATTCTTAAGCAATTCCTGCCCTGCTAATAAAGGATCTCCTATGCCAGTCAATGACTCGGCCTGGGAGATCATTAATACAAATAATTCAATTAAATCAGATCAACCGACAGTAGGCTACTAAACAAAATGCAAAATTTGCAAGTGTCAGCATTATTAAAGTACTTGGAAAGCAGCAACAAAAGGTGATGTTTTCTTTGCACTAAAGTTTCTTAATTTTGGAGTCGTTTCAGAAATAGGATGATGGCATTTTGAGGGAAGCTGAAAGATAATGTTAAATGTTCAAAGAGAATTCCAGACCAAACCTCATCAGAAGTGAGAAGAAGGACATCACTCATCTTCAATAAATGCTGGAGTGCTTCTTGTTCTTGGGGTGTTCCAGTAGAAAGAGACTTTCCCCGTGGTCCCGGATCAAAGAAAATAGATGTCCCAACTTCGACAGCATAATCTAGAGCTGAGACTATCAAACTAGGACATAGTTCATCAAAGCCATAACCATTGCAGAACAGAACCTTTGACTGTTTAATAGCCATTTTTACTTCTCCTGATAATTTGTTCATCCAGCTAAATGCAGGTTCCTCACTAAAATCAGCTCGACTGAAAAACAAAATTTACATGACCCATAATTTCTACAACTTAGCCCGCAATAAAAAATGATGAATGAGATAAAGAGCAATCACATAAATGCAATTGAAGACAGCCTGCTCAGGCTTTCAGCAATTTACCTACAAAAGCCATGCCTTTGCATAGGGTCCACAAGAACCCAGCATAAAAGTGTCTCATACAAGGCATTAGAACTGTCAATGATATTACGATCTTCACTCATGCCAACCATACGAATTCCCTCATCACGAAGCACATCTAGGAGGAACTTTCCATAAATTTCATTGCCGACATGACCAATTGTGGCACAACAAAGTCCCATTCTTGCAGCTGCTATGGCCATATTGCAGTTACCACCAGCTTCCCAGTATCGCTATATGCAAAAACATAATATCAACTAAACAAATGAACAGCTGAATAAAGATCCATTGATGCATTGATAAAACCATCAATTTTGGCATAAGAAATGAAAGCAATGAAATAAAATACCAACATGTGAAAATCCAAAACACGAAAATTTCCATAATTAGTGAGTAACAAAGACAATCCAGACAAAAAATTTGTTATGTAAAAATTAACTTAAATTTCGTTCATTACCATTCAAACTCATAAGTGATTCTCATAACCTTTTGCTGGTTAGTATGAGTTCTAAAACCTAGTGGTATCAAAGATAATATACTTAACGAAAAAGTTTATTCCTTTATTTGTGTGTAACACTAAAATCCATATTTATTTAAGAAAATCGTATAACACTGAAATATAAGCAAAAGATCTATTGTTTTTGACATTACTGCAAATTTAGCTACGTACAGAGCAAAATGGAAAGCTTCATTTGGCTGAGCTCAACCTCAACTAGTGTGGGATTAAGACTTAGGTGGTGTTGTTTGTTTGATTTTTTGTTTTTAAAGACATTTCAGGCTTGGTTGTTGTTGTTGTTGTAAATGCATTCACATTTCATCTGAGTACTGTTCTTATATGTAAAAGGATTTTCCTTTAATATAATACAATATAATATCTTTCATCTATTAATAAGAGAACTGTGCATATATCCTTTTTTTTTTTTTCTAAAAAAAAGTACCATTAGTTAAAAATAAAAAATGTATAGAGCAAGAAATCAAATCAAACCCTTAAAATTATTTAACGTCTTAATGCTATTCATCTTCATTACCAGCAATTGCTTAAAGAGGAGCAGAAACTCAAATAATACAAACTCCAACAGAAAGTTGCAGAATTCGGGGAAGCAGATAAGAGCAGACCTTATCGGGCGGGGAAGCTGATAGCTGTTCCATGTAAGCCTTTCGAGCCTCCGGTGAGCGAGGGGGCAATTCGGGAACATTAAGAACAATATCGACACAGAGATTACCGAGTGTAGCAACATCGATATTTTTCACTCCAAAACTCCGCAAAAAGGGGCCGTTTTGCGGTGGACCGAGAGAGGTAGAGCAATGATTGGAAATAGAAAGCTGGATTCCCCTGCAAGTGAAGGCATATTGAGGCCTATTGTTGTTGGCGGGAGAAAGAGGGAAGATTAGTTTAGGGTTTTGAGGGAAAATTGAATGCAAAGAGTGAGCATGGAAAGGATAAAAGTGAGTGAATGCGGAAGAGGAATTTAGGGTTACAGTGAATTGATGCATTCAGAGGAAAAGTAGCGGAGACTGCAGAAGAAAGAAAAAAACGAAATTTAGAGGAAATGTAAATGTAGAATTTGAATGAATATATTAAAATGATTCTTTGGTAGTAGTCAAGTTGACACTTTGCAACTCTCAAAAAAGGATTCTTGGAATCTCGTCCATCGTCTTTTTCCTCCTCTGTTTAATCGTTTTCTATTTCTGCCTTCTTTTTATTCTTTTCTTTACGTGAATAATGTTTTATAATTAAGAAAATATAAGAATAAAAACTCATTAGCTGCAATCTTTGGCCGTCAGATCAGATCAAAAGACATCCACTCCAAATTTTTTGAATTGTGAAAGATTTTTTGTAAAAAAAATGAAACTGAAAATTTGTTATCTATCTTTGGAAGCACAGTAAAGAAGCATTCACTCCTTTGGATTGTATTGCCCTTGACGGACCTGTAATAGATTATACTGCCTGTAATGAACTTTAAAATGATTTTAAAATGATTATAATCGCTGCTGATAGTACATGGTGTATAATATTCACAGTATATAATACTGATGAAAAAAAAAAAATACTAACAACCATTAAATAAATATCAATTTGAGATTGTAATGGTACTCGGTTATTAAAAAAAAAAGGAATTGTTAACATTAACAAGTAGTCTAAATAATCTAAAATTGCCAGTTTTGGATTTGTACAACCAAGCACAGGATAAGGAAATTTTGAATTTTGAAAAAAAAAAAAAAAAAAGAGCACAAAAACAAAAATCAATTCTAACTTTCTTCCTTGATTCAAACAGAAAAATCTCATGAGGAAAAGTAACATATCCGTGAACATAATTCAGATTTCAGGACAATTAGCTTGCATCGACTATTCCGCAGGCGGGTTTCAGATGCTTGAAGCTTGAAAGTGGATGAATAAGAGAATTCAAATCCCGTAAAACTTTGAAGGGTCTATGTCCTGCCTGCAGATTCCAGTTTCCTCTTTTCCAACCAACAATTTGTACTCCACATCCACTATAAAGCAGGAAGTTTGCGAAGCTGGCATTAGAAAGATAATTAAATTTTGGTACATATGAAATTCGTTAAGGAAAAGAAAATGAGATGTCAGGATTTAAACCCTTAATCTCGGCAGACAGTAGACACAATGAATTTCTTTGCTTTATGTCTGTAATAATCATATCAATGCTCCCAATATTTAACACTCAGAAGTCTGAAACATTATACATCACTATTACAAATAGATGGAGAAAAAATAACAAAAATTTAAGAACAAAAAGATAAAAAGTACAGTCATATTGGGGCTAAATATTCGAAAGTTTATAATAAATGGGTCTATATGTACACCCTGTTTCAAAAACTCATCCTTTGGCGAACTGTTCCCTGTGTACTTAATGGTCCACAGTTGATCTAGTACTGCAAATCTGTCTCAAATTCAATTATTCTACACCTAATTTTATTGAAATAGCTAATGATAGAGTGTACTTCCAGCCATATATTAGATGAATCAAATTGGTATCATTAATATACCATTTTCATGCCTAGAGAAATTACAAAAGCATCAGTAAGCATATTGGTTAACATGACCATCATACCGGTAGTCATTGCAACATTTGCATGGCAGCAGAATTTCATAGATTAATCTCTGGTTGAAGAGCTTGTTCCTTTGCCAATTCCTCAAGTCTCTTGACAACATTCTGTGCTGCATCACTATATGCTTTGGAGACTACAGAATCAGGTGATGATATTGTTATAGGGACACCTTCATCAGAACCCTTCCTGATATCCACTTCCAATGGTATCTAAAATAGGAAGCACTTTTATGTATGAGCATGGTGAACTAATAGATTCATATGTCAGTCTTATATAAATTGAATTGCATTCAACATTTGTGAGTAAGACAATATGCCAAATTGGACATGCGTCTCACAACAGAAAAGAACGATGAGAAAAATTTTAGAGTTACTAGTTTCCCAAGAATAAACTAAGCTTTACCATGATGATGACACTTGAAATTGCCCAAGACATTTAGCGTACCTCACCAATAAAATTATAACCCATAGAAGCAGCAGTCTTTTGGGTTCCTCCTTCCCCAAAAATAAATGAAGGCTCACCACAATGTGGACACTTGAAGCAACTCATGTTCTCTATAAATCCCAGAATCTGTAAAAGAATCAGAATTCCTCAATAGAATTAGTAATAGTGCTAATCTATTTATTTCAAGTAAAAGTGCCCAAAAATAAAAATTGCAGCCTTTTCTATTTCTAGGAGGCGTGTTGGTTCTTCCAGTTGTAACCTTCCTGGGATGCAGAAACTACATCATGAATAAAATACGTGTATCTCAAAATACAACCATGCACTGCAACAATTTAGCCTAATGGCTTATGCCTGTTGTCATGAGGATTTAAATTATTTTCCTTTTGATATATGTAGCAGTAGAACTCATAAAATCGTTATTCATAACTATAATTAGTGGGGAATTGTGGCAAATCAAGCTTTTGCATGTCATCAGCGCCCATTTACAGAATTGTCTCACAAATCACTTGAGGAAATTGGCATCTTTCAAAATTTGGAAGAAATAATCATACAGGAACTTGAACTTTAGAGAACATTTTAACTCCTCTACGAGCATCTATTAATGCAACATCTTGTGGAGTTGAGACAATAAGAGCACCTGCCAGCAAATCAACAATGATCAGAAACATAAAAAACTTACATTTATGAAATAAAGATACTCACAATGCAAAAACATTAAATCTGTTATCATAACAATCTGTCAAAGTTCAAAATAAAAAGGCCCAAAAAGAAATATGTCTTATAAAATTATTAAAGAGACTGTGCAACATAATGGAATTTTATTTCCTTTGTCGTCAGAAAAAAGCTTATTGATATATCCAAAAATCAACAACAAGAAACCAAGAACAAGACACAAAAGCACAAATAAAAACAGATTACCAAGAGAAACAATTTCCTCTCCAACCCCTTTGATTTTTTGCTATGGAAGAAATCTCAAGTTAGTTTGACAGACTGTCATGTCAACTGCTAGGTAGAACACAAATTTACACACCTGATAATTGTAGATTTTGACTCATAGTTATCTGAGCATCTCCAGTGCCAGGGGGCATATCTACCACAAGAATGTCAAGATTTCCCCACTCAACTCCTCTCAGCATTTTCTCAAGAGCACTCATCACCTTCCAAAAGGAAAAAAAAAGGTCAAATAAACTTCTCAAACAAAGCAATAAATAAATATAAAGAAAAATATAAAAATCTCACTGCAAGTAATTATCAATATATTAAATAGCATATGACTTTCTTGAATAAAGTAAACTTAAAACCATACCCTTAACTTTCTTTTCATTGTTATCAAAGTTAACACCACTTGTGCTATAAGGAAAAGCAATACTTGAATTTGCAACAAATTATAATTTTTTTTTTTTTCCTTGATGTAAATTGTGTGGAAAAAATGTTCTGATAGTGATGCAAAAGCACTGTAAGGATTTTGCATACCATAGGACCTCTCCATACAATAGGGGCATCTTTCTCTACAAGAAATCCCATTGACATACACTTAACTCCATAGTTTTCAATTGGTATCATTTTTGTATCTGCAAAAGAGCAGAAGAAAAAGAAATAGTTAGTTCTATTTAAACCTTTCAAGAGGGTGTATCATGAGGGGAGGTCTTCATCTGCCATGCATGTAGAAATTAAGAAAAGAAAGGACAAAAAGGTGATAGAAAGTTAGATCAAATTGGTAAATTTGGTATCGTTATCTGTGTTAGTCTATCTTTTGAAGACAATGAAAATGAAAATACAGAAGTCGGGATGCAAAAATTAGCCAAAGTATATTTACAATATTAAAGCTACACTCGAACAAATAGATTTAACTCATAGATATGTACTTAGAAAACTTCCCCTTTTCACAAATTGCTTTCTAAAGCACCTTCCGACTTCAACTAGTTTGGAACTAAGGCTTGTTGTTGTTGTGATGCTGGTGCCTTCTAAAGCACCTTAGTATAAAAAAAAAAAAAAAAAAAAAAAAAAAAAAAAAAAATAGAATTTAACTCATAGATTGGTACTTAAGAAAAACTTCACCTTTTCCACAAATTGACTTTCGTAAAGACAACTTCCCGACACTATAATCCACTTAGTTTGGAACTAAGGCTTGTTGTTGTTGTGAATGCACTGGTGCCTTCTTAAAGCACTTAGTATAAAAAAAAAAAAAAAAAAAAAAAAAAAAAAAAAAAAAAAAAAAAAAAAAAAAAAAAAAAAAAAAAAAAAGAACTATTACCTTTAGTGACATCTGGTTTTTGATTGATCTTCATCATTGTAGGAACAGATGGTCCATAAACATCAGCATCAAGCAAGCCCACCTTCAGTTGGCACTTGTTAGCAAGTGCAACAGCCAAATTAACTGCAAATACAAATAGTATACATATATAAACCTAATATAAGCATTTGAACACAGAGAAACAATTATTATTCTGGTGTTGTCCGATCATTGACAATTCCATGCTAACTTCAACTATCTCCAATAAGAGCTCATAGTAAAAGCAAGCATTTCAAATAAAAAAGAAACAATTTACCGGCAGTAGTAGACTTGCCGACGCCGCCTTTACCAGAAGCAATAGCAATAACATCCTTAACTCCTTCAAGTCGCAGCTTCGATCTGCTAAACGGTGCTGCATAGTCTCTAACACCTCCCAGCCTCTGCAATACAAAACTCACCCAACAATCATCATCAATTGACAAACGAAAGACATTTAAATCAAAAATAAAAAAAAAAAAGAAAGAAAGAAAGAAATCACCACCAAATTGAATTATGCGATCCGAAATGACATGCATAATAATCTTACGCTTAGAGGTCGCAAGAAGCCCTTCATGAGTCCTTCCACTGTCCAAATGGCGAAGAACCTAAAAAAGATTGAAGTTTTTACTTTCTGCAGCCGAGAACTAGTGTTCTGAGAAGGAAAAGTTGGGCGTAGTGGAGGTTTTAGTTTGCTGTAAGAATTTTTCCGGCATCGAAGAGGAGGGAAGGATGGAGATTAGGAGAAGAGGCTAATGGGTCATGGACAAAGCCCATGGGCTCATTCTTGTTTAGTACTTTTTTTTTTTTTTTTTTTTTTTTAAGTACTTTTTTTTTTTTTTTTTTTGATAATGTTTTAGTACTATTTAGAAGGATCGGTAATAGATTTTCATCGTATCTTTTAGAGAAAGATTCGTAAATGAAAATGCCGAGAACAAACTAATCAACATTCCGGAAACAAAAAAAAAAATCTCACCCATTTTTTTTTTTTTTTTTTTTTTGATAATTTGTTTAGTACTATTTAGAGGATCGTAATAGATTTTTTTCATCGTATCTTTTAGAGGATCGTAAATGAAAATGCCAACAACTATCAAACATTCCGGAAAAACAAAAAAAATCTCACCCTGCCACAATGTCTTTTACTATCAAAACTATTTTATTTTTTTAAGTTGAAAATTGAAATATTTACATTTTGGACTGACCGGATTTGTATTAACAGAACTGCATATTTCTGAAGCTTCCTTTAATTGGGAAACAAACAAAATCCAAGACAGTTAATTTCAACGGTCACTCGTTTTCCAAGTCAAGGACGTTCACATAATTTCCATCACAATTTTTTATTTTCTTCTTCTTCTTCTTCTTCTTCTTCTTCTACTTCTTTCCTCTTGAAAATTTTTACCCTTCAATTCTCTTCTTCTTCAAATTCACCGTCAAAAATCGTCAACCAGGTAAAAAATTATTGAAATCTATGTTTTGTGTTTGGTATATAATTCTTTTATTATATAAATCTGCAATGCGAATTCAATATACATTGCTGTTTGTGCTAATCCTTTTGCCTTTTACCTATATTCAATATTCTATCCCCTCTTAATTTCTTTGCATTTGTGTTTTTCTTAATTGGAAATAGTGCAGATCGTGCATTATCTGCGTTTCGATTTATCTCCTAATTAGGCACAAAATTACAATGGAATGTGGGTTAATGTTTTGTTTTTAGCCCACATACCTTACATTCTTAAAACTGAATCTGGGTTTGCTTTCTCTTATATTAATGGTTTCGCTCGCAAATTCAATTTACTGTCTTTATAATCATTGTTTTCCCTGATGTTGTCAGTTGATTCTAACATCACATTGTGCAGTTGGGTTAGGGATATCTCTCTCATATTAATTAGAATTGTTACTTTCTTGTTGGTTATTAGTTGATTCTCTTATTTTGCAATTGGGTTAGGTATCCATTCTTTTAATTCGTGTTAAGAGCTTGCCTTTCTTTTAAAATTTTGACTCAACTACCTTTATTTATGAGGAGGACATGTTGATTTATGATCATTAGCAGGTTAGACCTTGCTTTCAGTTTGGTTAGAAAAAGAGAGAAAAGAAGAAAAAGGAAAAGGAAAAGGAAAGAGCTTGCTGACCGTATCTACTGGCTATGTTTTGATCATTTATGGAAGTGAAGCCTTCAGTTTTAGGTTTTGTAATTTGCTTTTCTTTTCTTTTGTTTATTTATTTCTTAAAAGCACAACTGATTAATTGTTTCTCACTGCAGAAGATTTTTGCTGCATGCTGCTTAATTCATGGAATTTGGGATGGGAACCTCACTTCTGCACTTGGATGATTGGTACATGTATTATATTAATGTATCATTAGGCTTCATTTCATTCGTCCAGTAAATAATCACATGGAATTATAAAGAGATTGTGGTCAAAATGGCTGCAAAAGAGACTTCACTTGATAGAGTACGGAAGAATTTGCAGGGCTTTATGACCATTTTAAAATATGCAGCTTGTGAATTGCTTTTGACTTTTTTGCTGCTTATTGATGCTGTGTTCTCATATCTGCTGACAACATTTGCGCGTCATTGCAAACTACAAATACCTTGCATTTTGTGTTCTAGGCTTGATCATATATTGGGTAATGAAAAACCTGGATTTTATTGTAATCTACTGTGCAGAAACCATAGATCAGAAATATCATACTTATTTTCTTGTTGCATACATGGCAAGCTTGCTGATGGCCGTGGCATGTGTGAGGAATGTCTCTTGTCATTTACCATGAAAACCAAATCAAACACAGATATGAACAGGTTGTTATTAGGTAAGTTTGGGTTTGATCTTAGTACTTACGGTTGCCAGAGTCCATTGCAAAACAAGGAACTTGGTACTGGGGCTACAGGTGTGAGGTTATGCTCATGTTGTAATAAGCCTTGGCGATCGAGACAACAGGCTGACAAACTATTTCAGCTAAAATCACCAAGGAGCGGGAAAACTATGCCTTGTATTCCTTTGCCACGTCGTTTGAGTCGCCGTGAGAGCTTAAAGAAAATAAGGGAGAGATTATCTGGGTCAGCTTCTCCTGGCCATCTTGGACAACCTGGTTTAGATGGCTTGTCTCAAGTAGGATACATGGAGCTAAAGTTTGCTTCAGATTCTGAGTCAGATTTCCCATTTTCTGATGATGAAGAAGGTAGTAGTATTATTCATGAAATGACGGAGCCTAAGGAAGAATCTAAAATTCAACAAACTCCAGGAGTTTCACCTAAACCACGGACCAGTTGTGTAGCAAGAGATAACTTCCAGGAAGCTGATCAGAAAGCCTATCAGTCTGCAATGCCTGAACATCTTTCGCTTGCTGATTTTCCTATCCTTTCATCTAGAATTGAAGCTTCTGTTGCAATATCAACAGAAAAGCGTGAGATCAAGTTTCCTCTTTCAGAGAATTTAAAAAATCATTCTGCTCTACCTGAGCTCATGCCTCTAGGTTATGCTCCCTCATCATCCAATGTTGTTGAAGGTCCTCCTGAAGCACCACAATGTAAGTGTAAGCGTGCCTGTTTCTTGTGTGGTCATTTGTTTTAGGTGCAACTTATATCTCCTATGTGCAATTGTTTCTAGCAGCAGATGACACTGGAACAAGCTACACTAGAAATGTTCCCATCAACATGCATCAGGAAATAATGAGGTCAATAACTGCAACATCAGGCGGAGGTGTTAAAAATGATAGGGTTGATAACAAGGTGCCTCCTATAAATCCAACTTATATGAATCAGAGTGATAGCAGTAAGGAAAATGAAGCATCTGGTTTTGCTGCAGAGAAGTCCGCTATGAAAGAAGCCGAAAGAGTTAATGAAGACTCGAAGTTGTCGTCCATATACAGGGGAATCACCAGCACAGAAGGTGATGAATTGAGGACAACTAATGCTTCCAGATCTAATGGAGTTCAAATACTTGAGGAAACAGTTCCAATGGAAAGAACGGAATCTTCTAGTGCTGAATCACTTGATGAAGGTTTTGTCCATGAGATTGAAGGTGAAAGCATTGTTGATCAATTAAAGCGACAAGTTGAATGTGATAAGAAATGTATAAATGCTTTGTATAAGGAGTTAGAGGAAGAAAGAAGTGCTTCTGCAATAGCAGCAAATCAGGCAATGGCCATGATAACAAGATTACAAGAAGAGAAGGCCGCACTTCACATGGAAGCCCTGCAATATTTAAGAATGATGGAAGAGCAAGCGGAGTACGATGTAGATGCACTAGAGAAAGCTAATGATCTCCTGGCTGAAAAGGAAAAGGAAGTACAAGATTTGGAAGCAGAACTTGAGTTTTTCAGGTTAAATTTCCCAGAAGTTGATGTTAATGGTCCTCCTGGCTCAATCTCCATGGAGGTTTCACATGACGGAGAAAATATTATCGATGTCCGGTCTTCATGGGCAGAATTTGAAGAGGAAAAATTATTCCTTGCAGAATGTTTGAAGGATTTGGAGGAGAAATTTCATCAAATTGCGCAGCAGAAGGCTTCAGTGCACATTTCTAAGAGCAACTCTGAAGAAACCGTTAACAAGGAAGATTCTCTAGAAAATGAGGAGACTGAAATAAATGGTGAAATGGAAGAGAATAACAATATAAAGAAAGCTTCAATTGATGAAGAACAAGGACATAAGTTCTCCAAGAAAGATAAAGAAATTGATTTGGTGGCACTTGGAAATGAAATCTCAGAACTTAATGAAAGATTGGAAGCACTTGAGAGCGACTGGAACTTCGTTGAGCATACTTTTTACTCTCTTCTAACTGGAAATAAAGAGGGACTAAAGTTTGTTAAAGAAATATCTCATCAGCTACAAGAACTGCGAAAAACTGTAACAGAGAAAGCATTATTATCAGGTTAGAATATGGATACAAAGAAAAGAAAAATAGTTTGTATTGACAATTCACATTTCTTAGTAATCAAAATACTTAGCATGTGAATTTTGCTATTATAATATCTTCAAAATTGGATATCTTCTATAGAGTCAATCTTCCTCTAGTTATGACAATTCATGATTTTTTAAATTTCTTTCATTTAAGAAGCAAAATCATTGGACCTCGTTATCTGGAAAAACAAAATACTGTTGTTATACATGTTGATAGTACTATATAAATAGAGATATATTAAACAATTGAGGAAGCAACTGTACTTTAAAAAAAAGAAAAATGCAAATTTATCGGAAGCAGTACATATTATTATTTGATTGAAAATACAAAATGCGAGGGTGAATGTTGTTATTTCGTCGAAAGTGATACAAAAGAAGAAATGAAACAACCTAGTACATGGGAGGAATTTTCGTTCACATATAGTGTCAGGTAAACTTTGGACATTCTAGAAAAGAAGAAAAGAAACAACCAAAAAAAAAAAATTTCAAAGGATGATGTCACCAATGACCTATAAAGAATTACAGATATGCTAACCACGAAATTTCTCTTTTTTTTTTATTTGGAATAAAAATCAAATTGCTTTCTGAAATTTAATCGAGAAAGTTTAATTTTTTTATAGCTTATTTAAAAAATATGTTTTTATATTGACAGTAAATAAGAGAAAAATTCTATTTTTTAAGAAAAAGAAATAAAACAATAATTTTTATACTTTAATTGATAAATTTTTTACAATTATTAAATGCAAAATACAAGTTGGATTCTATAAAAATGCATATTGGACGTCTAACACATTAAAATGAATGTGTGATTCTATCAAATTGAATAAAATTATAAATAATTACATCTTATAAAAGATGCAAGTAAGATAATATATGGTGATAATATCATAGATATTATTTCAGATAAAAGATGCAGATACAATAAATTAGAAATAAAATAAGATTTAAAAAAAATTAAGATGATTTAGTCATATTTATGTAAGCTTTTTTACACTTCGAGTCATGAGTGCAATAAATATATAAAAAAAAAAAAAAAAAAAAAAAAAAAAAAAAAAAGTAAACTTAATACTATATTGAGAAATAAAAATAAAGTTGAATTTACCCTTTCAGCTTGAATATGATATACAATTTATTAACATTTAGCTTTTTGTAACTAAGTCTGTGAGAAAGAAAAATCTAAGTTGTGACGATTTCGCTTACGTAGCTAGCATTGATTTATGTCATAGAGACAAAAAAAACATGTCTTTGAAATATTAATTCTGAGTTGGATAATAATTACAAATTGGTTTATCAATTCAATTAAGCAGAAATATAAATTAGGAAACCAGCAAGAAGTTTTCTTATATGACATGAAAAAAAAAAAAGAAACCCGTGTTGTCACTTTCCTCCAATGCATTTTACAGATTTGCTTTTATTTCTACTTTTCACTAATAAATTACTATTTTATTTTTATATTTTATTAAAATTATCTAATATGTCATGGCATTTAACAAAAAAAAAAATTAAAAAAAATTAAGAGAAAGATATAACAATATAACGGAGTCAAAAAAGATAACGGTAAAAAAGTTTATTTTCACTCTTTTGTACAATAACTGTGATTAGTTTAAACTTAAGAGAAGAACGAAATTAGTTTAGAATATTAAACTTATAACAAATCAAAGTTTGTATTCTCCACGTTTTGCTCTTCAACTTTCCTTCTTTAGCACATTCTGTATCTAACCAAATTTTGTGTCTGTCATCTGCATGCGATTATTGTGCATGTATTTTCTTTTATTTTCATTTCTTGTAGGAGTCTATGGATAGATAACAAGTTTTGTATTTTAAAGATTTTCAAATATTTAGATAATATATATGTTTGACTAATAAATTCTTTTTAGAAAAAATTAAATTGAAAATTCCATTAAGAGGAACTGTATATAGATATACAAAACAAGTTACATGTTTTTATATTTTTTACATAGGAAGTCCAATAATAAACCACTTTTATATATATATATATATCTTAATCCGAAGTATTTGATAGAATTGACAGAATAAAATACATGTGTCATAAACAATCACTCGTTCCGCTAGATGGCTATTTATAATCATCGTTCGACTTCATGATCATTTATAAGTCCGATGCGATTATTTTCAAATTTCTTCATTTTAGGGAGACTTGCATTTTTTGTTCCGTAATTGCTAAAATAACAAAATCACCGTAATGGTGACAACAATAATTCAAAAATTATCAAAATAACTAAATCTAAGTACAAAATCTCAAAATATAAACAATAATAACTCATATCTATATTAAAAAATACAAATTTGAAATTTATTCAAAATGGAAGACGCAGAAAAGACAATAGTTGACTGGGCGAGAACTCACGGTGACTGCCTATGGAAGAAATAAAAAAAATTTTAGGTTTTTTCCTCCCTAAGAATTTTGACATACAATTGAATAATAAATTTTTCAGTAACGAGGAAACTGCTAGTAATTTTTTGAGAGAGTACTAATTTGCTACTAAACATATTGCATCCTTCATTTTTTCTTACATGCACAGATTTCGGACAATTTTAATAATATGGTATTTTGCGACATCAACTTATTTATAAAATTTATTTTTAAAATATCTATTAATGATGGATATTGAGCTATTATTATTATTATTATTTAAATTGCTATATAAATATAATAGCTAAAAATCTTTCTTCTCATCTAGATTATGGACAAAACAGGAAATTGAAGAATAAAGAACGCTTACATGTGAACGTGGAATGAAATGGTTGAACGCTGTTTTTACTTATTATAATATTTTTCTTCCACTGAAAAAAGCACAAGGTCGAAGTCGACTTTGTCCAACGAGTACGACCAAATTCCTTGCCCCTATAAATTGCATCTCTAATCCTCTGTCAATACAGCACGTACCAGAATAACGATCAATTAAACTTCTTCGCTAAGTATTTTCATTTGATCCTCACAATCCAACGAAAACAAAATGTTACTTCAGCTTTCACTCTCATTTCTTTTCTTTCTAATTTTCCCGTTAATCTTCATTTTCTCGATAACCAAAAGCTCCAAATCCAAAAACTCAATCTCTACTACCAATCTTCATGCTCCAAAACCACACCCACTGATGGGAAACTACTTCCATCTAAAACAAAACTGGCATCGTCGAATTCAATGGATATCTGATGCAGTCGTCAACTCACCGTCAGCGACATGGGTCCTACACCGGCCTCTCGGCAGTGGCCAATTCATAATCACCGGCAACCCAGCCAACGTCCAACACATTCTCAAGACTAACTTTCACATTTACGAAAAAGGCCCTATCGTTCGATCAACCCTGTTTGATTTTCTTGGCAATGGAATCTTTAATACAGATGGTGAAACTTGGAAAATCCAAAGGCAAATTGCAAGCCATGAATTCAATACCAAGTCTTTACGTAAATTTGTTCAGACTGTTGTGGATACTGAACTCTCTCAACGCTTAATCCCAATTCTTTCTACGGCTGCCGCTAATCAAACGGTTCTTGATTTTCAAGATATTCTTCAAAGATTTGCTTTTGATAATATATGCAAAATCGCTTTTGGGTATGATCCTGGTTATTTGTTGCCGTCGCTTCCGCAGACGAAATTCGCCGACGCTTTTGAAGACAGCGTCAGAATAAGCTTCGAGAGATTCAATTCTTTGTTTTGGAAGATTAAAAGAGCTTTTGGTATTGGATCTGAAAAGCGTCTTAAAGAAGCCATGTTAGAAGTGCGTGATTTTGCTTTGAATATCGTAAAAAAAAAGAAAGAAGAACTCAAACAGAACTCGTCTCTTGAATCCGCCGATCTTTTATCCCGATTTTTAAGCTCTGGCCATTCCGATGAGACTTTTGTTACTGATATCGTTATCAGTTTTATATTAGCTGGCCGCGATACGACGTCGGCTGCTTTAACATGGTTTTTCTGGTTACTCTCTAGAAGTACAGAGGTAGAAACCAAAATTCTTAAAGAGATAAAAGAGAAATCGGAGAATCCTGTTTTCGAAGAAGTGAAGGACATGGTTTATACACACGCTTCTTTGTGTGAAAGCATGAGACTGTATCCTCCGGTTCCTTCAGACTCCAAATTTGCCGTGGCCGATGACGTTTTGCCCGACGGAACGCCGGTGAGGAAGGGGAGTAGAGTTACGTATCACCCATACGCGATGGGGAGACTAGAAATGCTTTGGGGCTCTGATTGGGCGGATTTCAAGCCGGAAAGATGGCTGGAGAGAGATGCAGTGAACGAGAAATGGAATTTCGTCGGGAAAGATCCATATACTTATCCGGTATTTCAGGCTGGGCCGAGGATTTGTTTAGGGAAGGAAATGGCTTTTTTGCAAATGAAGAGAGTGGTTGCCGGTGTTCTAAATAAGTTTAAGGTAGTGCCAGCGGCCGAGGATGGTTTTGAACCTGAGTTTATTGCGTATTTGACGTCCAAGATGAAGGGCGGTTTCCCGGTGAGGATTGTGGAAAGGAGTTAGTGAGCGACCCTTTTGTCGCTTCTGTTTAATTGCGTATTATTTTCTGCATTAGGTAAAGGCGGGTTAACTTTTTTTTATTTTTTAAAGAAGCAGGTTAAGGTTAAATAGGAGATTATTAATTAATTTGCTTCGTTATCATTTGTGTAAAATTCAACATTAGAAACCATTTGTTTTTTTTTATGTGAAATTACTAAGACAAATTTTTTTTTTTTTAAATTTTTGTTGGGTATAATTTTTTTCCCCGTTCTATTTCTTTCCATTTGTTTTTAGCATGAATAAATATATTTTTATTGCCTGTATATATAAATGATTTCAACTTCGAAGCTTAGCTCATTTGGATTATTGTACCAAATATTTTGTACTCCTCGTTGAGGTCTGAATCAGGAGGACTATGCAATCCATAAAGCAATTGACAAAGAACAGTTCAAAAACGAAAAACGACAACGATAATAATAATTTATTATTTGGACATATATTCAAACTGTTAGTTAGTGTGCAACACTGAAAACGACAATCTGACAATCTACGGCCCATGCGTGCGACACGGATAGTTTGGAAATTGGAAGTTGACCGCAACCGCAACATTCACGCGTGCGTCGAGGAGTATTATATAGAGTCAGTTACTTATGCGATTTCGGGCTAATGGTATCGATCCATTTATCGGTCCATAGAGGGGAAAAAGAGATCGGACAAATCCAATAAAATAGTGGTCTATTGACGATGGGATTGGGTTTTTAGCCTATTTCTTGTAAAACCTGGGCTGCAAGAGAATGGGCTTCCAATTTCCAAAGAATGCGCTAAAGGCATTAACCAAAATCGATTTGAGTGTTTCTACTTCGAATTGAAATTTTTTATGTACACGTGTCTTTTATGTGCGGACTGAAAGTGATATTTAATTATACGCTTCCAATAACAGTAACTCTAAATGTTGAAGAATTGCCGTAGCTTAAAAATAATTGTCACTGTTTAAATAAAAAAAATCAAATTTAAAGTTAAAAATATATAGAAAGTTAAAAGGGAAAATTGATTTTCTAATGCTGTTTGTTTAGGAGTGTAAATGAGTCGAGTCAAGCTCGAACATGCTAGACTCAAAATTTGGCTTGAAAATCAATGAGTCTGAAAATTTTAGGCTCAAGCTCGATTGGAGCTCAACTTGAGGCTCTAATTCAATTCGAAAATTTTTAAATTTGAGCTCAATTCAAGGATAAATCTGAATAACTTAAAATAATATATATACAAGTTCTATAAGGCTCGACAGACTTTTGAGCGGAATATTATTAAATTTGAAGTCGACTCGTTTGCTAAATAAGCAAAATTGAGCTTGATTCAAGCCAAACTTATTGAAACTCCTTATGAGCCAAGTCAAAGAGTTCGCAGCTCATTCATGTCTCTATATCAATTAACCTAGAAGGAAAAAAAAAAAAAAAAAAAAAAAAAAAAAAGGACAAATTGATAAATGGAAAGAAATTAAAGAATGGAACCATGTCCATGCTAAAAGCTAGACCGGCTGGCCGATCGTAGGGTTCCTTCTTTATTGAGAATTTATATGGCTTTGGTCGCTCTATTATTTGATTTTGCAAAAGCCAAAATCTTTTTTTTCTGGTCTGCGAGAGGAAAATGTACTAGGGCCCATGCCCAACTAGGGGCTTTTTTTATCTTGCATAAGCGTAAAATTAGCCCATGTGACGGAAAAATTGATTCGTCCAGCATTGTCATATAATTTAGTTGTGTGCGAATGAACGGCGATCGAGGCGACTAATAATAATTATGTACACATGTGAATACTGCACTGTTCATCTGAAAACTGAGAAAAGATAAAAGAAACTAAATATCTTGATTTCTTCATCTACCTCCGAGAAAAAGCGTTCTCTTGCTCACCAAAACCTACATTTAACTTCCAAAATTCAAATGAAATAAAATGGTGACTTGTTTATTTAACTTTTTTATTAGTTATAAACACAAAAAATTAATTATCTAACTAATTAGTACTATTAACTTGGAAAATACAAGTAATTATACGTTAATACGATTAAAATTTAAAACATCTTGAATTAAATTTGAAGGGACAATATCTCACTCTAAAGAATAAATCATAGAATTAACAGTCCTTTATATATATATATATATATATGTATAAAAAGTGAACTCCAAAAGAAGAATTCTACGATCATTAAGTGAAACAGCGAATTATCAAACTAAAGAACCTTGTAAAGCAAACTTTGAAACATAGAAATCTAGATACAATCTTGGATATAAAAGTGAAAAGGGCAGCTGAATCATATGGAAATTTGAAAAGTGATAGTATGTGTTCTGGTTGCTTCTTTTCTTTGAAGTCAAATTGTATTAACTATGATGATGTATATGTCGTTTGTTTGAAATAGAACTGACGGGAGAGCTTTCGTCATAAAAGGATACAGCTTTCCAAAATCGCACGTGCACTTTACGACACCTTATCTTGCTTTTATAGTTTCTTTGCTTCTCTTTATTTCTATGATTTTTTTTTTTATTTTAATATTTTTCTTTTTCCAAACAAGCATTCTACACACCATTAATTTTTATAATTTTTCTTTTTTCTTATTTAATAAATTAAATGTAAAATCCTACTCCAAAGTTAAAATCTAATTCAATTAATATTATATTACTATATATTATTGTGAAATGAGGAGTTTTTTTAATGAGAAACCATAAAATTCATATTTTATTAATTTTATCACATTATTTGATATTATTTTTTATTTTATTTTTAACATCACAAATACTAGAATTAAAAAAAAAATACCGCGTTTTATTTTGACATCCTAGAAAAGAATCCTAAATCCGTCACTACATAGCACGATCCTTTAAAAGTGGGATGGAATTACTATCATGCCATGTAAAATGACTGGATAGAAATCTTTTAATGTATAATATATATATATATAAACAGGAGTAATCTTGTTTTACATATTGAATTTTTATTTTTATATTTATAAGGATAGAGACTGTTTACCAATTCGAGCCACACATTGTTGAAATTAAATATATTCTTCAATTTGATAATTACAATGCTTAATCATCCTCATTTTTCTTTTTAATACATACACAAATGCCTATGTAAATATGTATAAATTAAACCCATGAAGCCATCTAATATAACAGTTTAAATTTTATTAATCATTTAATTATTACTAATATATATTATGGTTCAATTTTCTCATATAGAGCTCAATATATATATATATATATATAATGTTTTAAATTCGATTCATACCAAATGGTCCAAGTTCTAGTTCCGTAAATTTGTATCTACTCCTCTGTACTATATAGTGCATGTATGAGTGACTGAGTCAAAATCTATCTCTAACGCTATATTGTGTAGCATGAAAAATGTTTTGCATATATAACATTATACATTACTAAGAGATCACTTTATTTGGGTTTGATCCAAATTAACAATTTATTGATCATAATGATTAAGAATTAGTGGATGGACAGAGAGAACATATCGGCTATATGTTAGGTAGCCATTTTCCTTTAAATAATATTCACGGTAATTTTTATAATAAAGAAAATTCGAATTTGATATCTCTCACTTGTTATATTTGCTATAAGACATGAAAAAAGTGACCAAACTACACCTAATTGACTATACACTTGCAGTGATTGGAATTGGACTTGATAGCATAATTTTAATTTTATTAAGAGGGAGATTTAGTACAATGAATAAAAATATAGTGTGATGGCAACTTATCAATAAGAAATGCAAACGACAACGATGGATGTAAAAGTTTCATGCAACATTCATGTGTAGATGAAAAATAAATAAATAAAGATGCAAGAAACAAACAAAAAACTCTATCCGTCGTCTATTTCTTGCTCTCTCTATTTTTGTGTTTCTTTATATTTCGTTTCTAAACCAAGACCGTCTTATTTGATTAACATTGATTTTTTTTCATCCCTCATTATTTTTTATTATTTTATTTAATTTTGTTTTCAACAATTTCTAAATTTATAATTATTTAAAATAAAATTTAGATTTAGTCTTTTAGATTAAGTGTTTATGGGACCCTTTTATTGGAGTTATTAATTTCTCTCATTTTATGAAATTGTTCCTCATTGTTGAAGAGTTTTTATTTTGATCTTTTATTTTTTTAATAATTCAAAATACAAGATAGATTGTTGGTTTCTTGTGGTTGAGACTTCAGATCTTCAAGTTCAGATACATTTATTTTATCAATGGAGTCTGGTAATGCGACATGTTACTCCATTAAAGTTTATTATATTAAATCCTTTTGCGAGTATCAATTATAATAAATTTCTAAAAAATCAATATTCGGCACAATATTATGGAAAGTTTCTTTTATTGTCCTATTTGCGAATGGAACAGTTTTTATTCCGAAAATTACCTCTTCTACTAAGATCAACAACATCTCCAAACAGAAAATTTTAATTTTTTATATTTGTATTTTTTATTTTTACGGAAATATTATAATGCACTCAACTTATATTTTTTATTAAAGAATTATTAAGTTAAAAAAAAAAAAAAAAAAAAAAGCAAAACACGAGAGTAATACACCTTTTGACTGCTATCAAAGGAGAGGTAAGAACAAGTTACAAGTTACAAGAAAAAATTAATTTATGATACTGTACGTATCAATTCATATTGTCAATACTTAAAACAAAAAAAAAAAAACGAATTGGAATTAGTTTTTCCAACTATCTAATATGTCACACGTGTAAGCAGCTTTTACGTACAAGGATGAGTGAGAAAGATTATCCGAACAGTGCATATTTTTGTAATTTAATTTAATAATATATTTTTTATTTAAAGCGGTTTGATTTGCTTTAAAAAAAAAAAAAAAAAAAACGAATTGAATTAAGTTTTCCAACTTCTAATATTCACACGTGTAAAGCAGGCATATATACGTAAAGGATGAGTGAGAAAGATTTATCCACACACAGTGCATATATTTTGGAAATTTAATTTAATAATAATATTTTTTAATTTAAAGCGGTTGATTTGTCTCGAAATATATAATATTTTAAATATTTTAAAGAATAGAAAATAATGTTTTTTTCAATTTATCCTTACTAATTGAAAAAACAAATCTTCCTGTCACAATTAACTATTATTTAACGGGTTTTTTAAATGAATTTAAAACATTTTAAATATATATATATGCACATTTTAAATAGAAAATTAGTTTAGTATTAATGGGTCTATGCACAACGTATAGGTAATTAAGTTACAATCATAAACATTTTTTCCGTAAAGTTTAAACTATAAAATTTCTCTTATTATAGATCAATCAAAATAACATATCAAAAGGACAATGAAAAAAAAAAATTACTCGTTCCGTTTCACTCGATCGTTATTTTTAAAAATTTTTCTTATTTCACTTTAAATGTTATTTTCTAAAGTTCAAGAAAAATTTTATTTTATTTTTATTTGTTTATCCTTATTTAAAAGTTGACTTTTTTTTTTTAATGAAAAAGTTGACTATTTAAGCACGATACTTAATAGTAATATCCACAGTAAATATATTCTATCATAAGATGCAACATTTTATATCAGGTGATATTATCAAAAATCTTTGTTTCACAAAAGTGTTACACAATAACAAATGCAAAATCGTTGTGATTAAGACATTTAAAAATGTTTTATATATCCATTATTCAGCAATTATCATCCAACTAAGGCTTTGCTGGGAAAATAATGCAAAAAGAAAAATAATGAATAATTGTTAATTTTATTTTTATAGTTATTTTTCACTTTTATTTTTTGGTATAATTAATAAAAGAAAGGAAAAAAAAAATTTTCTTTAAGCAAAGGGTAAAACATTAAATGAATAGAAACAATATCATTGGACTGCCAATTATACTCTCAAAAATTGACAATTATTAAAAATTTGAAATGTTTGGATGATTCCATAACAATGAAATTGCCATTTTTCAAACTACGAGTTGTGGTTCAGTTGGCAACGCAGGCTGGATATGTGGAAAGCGTTTTTAAATTCGTTTCTTACTAAACACATCTACATGGAGAGGAGAAGAGCCTTAATTATAATTAAGTCCCGAGTCGGATTAGGTGGTCTCTAATAATAGGATTCGGATACCGGTGATTTACAAAAAAAGAAAATGTTATTTTCCTTGGCCTATTTCTCTCCAAATTGAAGAGAGTTTAAATTATGTTCAAGTACATGAAAAATATCTTTAACTTTATTTGCTTCAATTTTTTTTCTCCCTTTTCTAAAAAAGGAAAAACTCTTTACTTTAGCCAGCTTGCACGATTTTTTTCTTTTCTTTAAAAAAAAAAATCCACTCTTATTCAAATAAATTCTAAAATTCATAACTCGGAATTCTTATTATTTATGTATAATTATAGCAAAATTCATAATTTAATTTGAATATAAGACATTAATTATATTTAACTTGATGGTGTTTATAACATTATAAATTTTATATTCAAAAAAAAAAAAAAAACAACGTAAAAAAAAAATATTAATACCAGATTGATTACATATCCCAATTTTATCACGCATGAGTTACAAAGTCGATATACATTTACATATCACCAAGATTAGAATTTGCACAACTTCTATTGTTCAAATCTAGTAAATTGACATACCGGAAATAAAGAAACGGTGCCTAATAATGCCACGTGCGCAGAAATAAAATAAAACATGTGGACATTAAGAAACACATGACAAAATATGCAAACCATGTGATATTATTTCTTTGGAATATTTTATCTTAGAAATGTTTTGTTTTGAGAACTGCTAAACTTTTTACATGATAAATGAGTACTTCAAGTGTTGAATTATAATTTTTAACAGTATTTGAAGGCAACAGTATTTTGTGTGACATTTACGCTCTGTTTGGAAAGAAGAGGAATCAAAATAATAGAGGAAAATAATAATGAATTATTTTTTTTTTCATTATTATTTTTCACTCTTGTGTTTGGACAATGAAGAAAAGAAAAGAAAATTTATTTTCCTTTACTTGGAAAAAGCAAAATTTTAGAGGAAAAATTATTAATATTGATATATTACCATTTTAATCTCACTTATCTCTTTAATGATCATATAACTTTAATATTTAATTAAAAGTAGTTTGAGTATTTGGATAATTTCATAAAAATTGAAGAAACTTCAACATTTCACCGTTTCTTTCCTAAATAAAGAGATTCTATTTATGTGAGATAGATAAGAAAATAAATTTATTTTTCATTCTTTTCCAAATAAGGGAAAATTATTTTCCACAATTATTTTTCTCAGCTATTTTGATTTTTTTAAAAAAACCTCAATTCAAACAGAGTGTTAATGTTTTAATTTTAGTAAAATATTAACTTTATTTCATTGACATACTATTTATATTAATGTTTTAATTAGATTTTGAGTAAGTAAAAAAAAAAATGTAAACTGAAATTCAGGTTTTTTTTGATAAGCTTTTGTATACTTGTATAATTATATATAAGTTAGCTATTAAATTATATAAAAGATTAAATGATTTAGTTTTGTTCAGGTCATTGGACTCATTTATAAATCAAATTAATTAAAAAAAGATGTTTTTAAAAAACAAAAATATTTTCGATAGTACAATGAACAAAATATAAAATTTTTTTGAAAAATTTATTATTTTGTTCTATAAATAGAGTCATTGATGAGGTCAGGAGGACAAATATAAACCACTATAAAAATCATTTATCTCCTATATAATTCCTTTATTTTTTTTTTTCTGAAAAAGATACATAAAAATAAAGAAGTTGACTTCACCATAATACGCATCTTTTCACTTCCCTATCGACAGTCGAGGCAGAGCACAGCCTATAAATATGCCGCCATACATGACTTCAAATCACAAATATTTGTCCGGAATAAAAAAAAAAAAAATACATATACAATCAACTAAAAAACAATGGAGCTTCTCTTTCTACTCTCATTTTCGCTTCTCATCTTCTCGGCACTCTTCATTTTCTTCACAACCAAACACTCCAAATCAAAACAATCCATCTCTACTCATCTCCCAAAATCATACCCATTAATCGGTTCTTCTTTTGCTATTAAAGCGAACTTCGACCGAAGAGTCCAATGGACATCTGATATTCTCCAAACTTTACCTTCTGCAACATTTGTCCTTCACCGGCCAATGGGGGGCCGTCAAATTTTTACCGGAAACCCTGCAAATGTCCAGCACATTCTCAAGACTCATTTTCACCTTTATCGGAAAGGTCCGGTTACTCGATACACTCTTTTTGATTTTCTTGGTAACGGAATATTCAATGCTGATGGGAACACATGGAAATTTCAGAGACAAGTCGCTAGCCATGAATTTAGTACCAAGTCTCTTCGTAAATTTGTTGAGACTGTTGTTGATACTGAACTCTCTGAACGCTTAATTCCAATCCTCTCTGTTGCTGCTGCAAATAAAACAGTCGTTGATTTACAAGATATTCTTCAAAGATTTGCTTTCGATAATATATGCAAGATCGCATTTGGGTATGATCCTGCATATCTATTACCATCTCTCCCACCAATGGACTTTGCACAAGCTTTTGAAGAGAGTATTAGAATTATTAGTGACAGATTTAATTGTGCTTTTCCTATAATATGGAAAATCAAGAAATTTTTTGGCGTTGGATCTGAGAAGCGACTTAAAGAATCAATGTCTCGAGTACGTGACTTTGCCATGAAAATTGTAGAAGAAAAGAAACAAGAACTTAAAGAGAACTCAGCCCTTCATTCAGTTGATCTTTTATCGCGATTTGTGAGTTCCGGCATTTCGGACGAGACATTTGTAACCGATATTGTTATTAGTTTCATATTGGCTGGACGAGACACTACATCTGCTGCGTTATCATGGTTTTTCTGGTTAATATTCAAAAACCCAGAAGTCGAAGCCGAAATTCTTAAAGAAATAAAAGAAAAATCAGATGCGCCGATTTTTGAAGAAGTGAAAGACATGGTTTATACTCACGCTTCATTATCTGAAACTATGAGGCTTTACCCTCCAGTTCCGGTAGACTCTAAAATGGCAATGGAAGACAACGTTTTACCAGACGGCACGTTGGTGAAGAAAGGAACAAGAGTCACGTACCACCCGTTCGCGATGGGGAGGCTGGAGGCGCTGTGGGGTAAAGATTGGGCTGATTTCAAGCCAGAGAGGTGGCTTGCCAGAGACGGAGAACATAAGAAGTGGAATTTTGTCGGGAGAGACGCGTATACCTATCCTGTGTTTCAGGCTGGGCCAAGAATTTGTTTAGGGAAAGAAATGGCGTTCCTGCAAATGAAGAGAGTGGCTTCGGCTATTTTAAGTAGGTTTAAGGTGGTGCCAGCGGCAGAGGATGGTGCTGAGCCCGCTTTTATTGCTTATCTTACTACGAAGATGAACGGAGGGTTTCCGGTTAGGTTTGAGGAAAGAAGCGTGCAATAATTTGATTAATCATTCACGAGTTATTGAGCGAATAAAATTGTTGGCTTAGTGTAATTTGTTAGTTAATCGGTTTAATATTTCATGGACTATGAAGTTTGTTTTATATTAGTGGACGTTGTAATTTATGTAAATCAATCATTATTTTCAAGAACACTAATTGTTGTTAGTGAAAGTAATTTATGTTATTAATAAACTTCAAATTAAAAATAATCAAACTTAACTCCATTAACAATGTTTTATGTTTATAAAGCATTTAATTTCAATATGAAACATAAATTAAGAAGGTAAATTATTTAACTTGAATCTCATGTCGCTTGAGTGCAACGTGTGCGTATACGAAATATTCATTCTAATGCAAATCAATTAACACCTACACACCCAATCTCTTTCCTAACATACATACTTAAAATTCTTTTCACTTTTATTAATCCAGTTAGATCTCTTTCCTAACATAGAGAGTTAGATCCATATGAGATATATCCAGTTAGCTGTGTTCTTAATTGTCTGGTAGAAGTAATATAAATGGTATACGAGATGGGATTAGGAAAAGGTGGGCAGAGGTTTAAAGTTGGCGCTTGCCCTAACAATAAGGCAGAAGTCTCAAGCCTCTGAATCAAAAGGTTGGTTCGGAGAATAATTTACTTACATTTTCTTAAAACTATTTTTTTTATTAATTTTGTCTATGGGCGATCTCAATACATTGAATGTTAGTAAATCTTATCCTCTGTTTAAACTTTTCTTCCTTCTTCTTTATAATGCCTCTACTATATAAAATGGACTACCCTTTAATAGATTATATGAATAATGTAGTTGTATTTAATCTATAGAATGCTTTAATTGTTGTTCCATATTATAATTTGGATAATTAAATTTAGAATGTTTAGTCTAATACACTTCAAATTTTACAAATGATGGTATATATACATATGTTTTTAATTAATATTAGTTTTTTTTAATTAAAAAAAATGTATGTTAATCAAAATTATTTCGGCCACATGTGGATATTTCAAGGTCAAATGGCCCTTTAATTCTCAAAAAAAAAAAAAAAAAATACATTGATGTAGTAAATCCTTATCCCTCTGTATTAAACTTCTTCCTTCTTCTTTTATAGATGCCTCTTACTATATAAAATGGCACTACCAGGCCGTTAATAGATTATATGAATAATGTATTTATTTAATCTATAAAAGCTTTAATTGTTGTGTCCATATTAATTAATTTGCGTAATTAAATTTAGAAGTTTAGTCTATAATTACACTCTCAAATGTTTCACAAATGATGGTATATCATAATATGTTTTTATTAATTATTAGTTTTTTTTAATTTAAAAAAAATTTGTTATGTTAATCTAAAATTTTATTCGGCCACATGTGGATATTTGTCAAGGTCAAATGCCCTTTAATTCTCAAGAAAAAAAAAAAAAAACAAGAAAGAAAAAAAAAAAAAAAAAGTGAAATGGCCCTTCAGCATTCAAGATTTGTGGGCTCGCTATGTTTTGAGGTATGTTAAATCGGGCCCATAGTAAAAAATGAAATTGCAGAGTCTCTAATTTTTGATGAAATCCGTTTCATTTTTTTTTAAATTACACTAATATAGATGTATTATATATATACTATACTAGATCAAACACTTTGCGTTTTTAATTCAAATTTATGTTAATGCAATAGCAGGATGAATAAGTTTTGTAAATTCGTATTATATATTACTTTATATTATTTTCTTTTTAAGTATATTTAATTGATTAGATTTTATAAAAATGTTATGTTGTCAGGTCTTTAACTATATGGCTGGGTTTTGAAGGGCAGGATAGATTTTTATCTATATATATAGATCAAACACTTTGGTTTAAATTTATTTTATGTTAATAATAGCATATGAATAAGTTGTAAATTCATTATATATTACTTTATTTATTTATTTCTCTTTTAAGTATATTTTAATTGATTAAATTTTATAAAAATTTAATTTGTACAGTCTTAACTATATGGCATGGGGTTTTTTTAAGGGCAAGGGATGATTTTATTTATCTAATAATTACTTAATTATGGATAAATTAACAATGAGAAGGAACATGATAGTTGCGTAATTAGTGAATGCACATGCACAAGATTGGGCCAACATCTGTCTCACTTGATGAACCACATGGCTCGAGCGGTTCAACCCCAGGCCTGCATGTGATGACCTAATAGTTAGCACGTATCCCCTCAACCACAGGACATAACCCACAGAGCCTCCAAATTGCCAAAAAGAATTGTTAACAACTGTGGGATTGCATGGAAATATAAACGTGGAACCCTATATTATATGCCATTAGGGTTTGCGTATAATAAATGAATGTTGAAATACGGTCTGTCTAGTGACACAAGATGAGAGAAATAAAACAAGGGACAACCTTCAGGATCAGATTCTACAATAAAAGGATTAAAGATATGAGGAAATTGAAAAGCAAGTACGTTGAATCCAAATTCCAAATTTACATTTTTATTCTGAATCTATAGATATTTTTTCAAGTCTACAACTAAAAGTCAAATTTTCAAACGTTAAGCATTCACGGCTGTAGTTACAGCTAAGCATATTATAATTCAACCATTTCATTTCAACCTCTTGTTCAAAAAAGGAAAAAGAAAAAAAACTCATAGCTATTACCTATTAGATGTCAAAGCAATTTAATTCAACAATATATTTTGCATTTAATTTGATTTTTGGGTGCAATTATAACAAATCAATAAGTTCAGAATACTTTGATTCATTTATAATTACAAGTTAATCGACAAGTTTAAAATGTTTAATCGAAAAATTATTTTAGCGTGATTTTATTTTATTTTGGTAAGATTTGTATATAAAGATAATTAAAGATAAACTCTAACGTAATAAAATTAATTGTGTAAAAGGATAAGCTCTTCAATAATTTATTAAAAACACATATCAACAAGCAGGAAAATGTCAGAATTCAAAAATGTCGGCAAAGTCACAAGTTTGAAACAGTAATATATTTTCTTCTATATAAATCCACCACTACAATCAACAAATCTATAGTTTCCATTAAACTTATATTGGGAAGGAAGAGAGGGAGATATATAAGTACAGGAAAGATAATGGCTAGTGAATGTGAAGGTAATCAATCTGCTTCAATGAGGTTTATGTGTTTTTAACGTTGTTTGTTAATTTGTTTCATGAAACTCGAAAATTTTGCAGGTAAGAGCTCATGGCCCGAGCTGCTCGGGGCAAATGGGAAAGCGGCAGCTGCTACGATAGAGAAAGAGAATGGAAATGTAGACGCAATTCTGGTGAAGGAAGGATCTTCAGTGATTCTGGACTTTAGGTGTGACAGGGTGTGGGTTTGGGTCAATGAAAATGGTGTGGTCACTCGTGTTCCTATAATTGGCTAATTTTATTTCATTTCCAAATAAATGAAATGATTTAAATAATGTTGAAATAAAAGTTTCCTTCGACACATACGAAGGCTTGTATTGTTTACATGTTATAGAATGAATATATAATGAATATTGCTATTGAAGAATATTTAAATGATTATTTATGTATTCGGTTCTCCTCATTTCTTTTATTAATTTTTTTGAAATTTAAAACTTTTATGAATTCATTTATTCTTATAGTCATTCCGCCTAGAGTGACAATTTTCATGTTCTTATAAGACAAATGTTAACCAAAACGCTGAGCTATTTTGCAAATGTATACAACAAAAAGATTAAGATTTGAGCAGATACTGCAATTAGTGAGTAGAAGAAAGAAAATTGAAAAGCAAATCAATCCAAATGTATACGTGCTCTCCGTACATTAAATTTGACAATTTTTTACGTTTTAAAAAAATTAGGAAAATGATTTAATTATTTCAATTACTGAAAAAATAAAGGTATTTAACTAAATTACCTTTAATTAATGCTCATATAATTAAGACAAGTTTAAGGAAATATATAGATAAGGATAAAATTACAATAAAATAATTAATAATATTATTGCGATTTTCTAAGTATTATCTAAATAGAAAAAAAAATATTGTGAAATATGAATCCAAATGCTTATAGATATACGTTGAATTGTGAAATAATACTCTTATTAAAAGTCAAACCTTCAAATGTCTTGACTATGGCTTAGCTGGCCATTATTATTCAACCGTTTCATTTCAACTTCTCTAAATAAAAAAAAGAAAGGAAGAAGTAATCTATCAAAGCAAGCAATTCCTCTAAAATTTTCATCATCTCCGTCATCTGATTTATAGAACAGCCCTAAAAACATCAAAGAGAAAAACAAAGCAAGTGAAGGGACCATCATTGCAGATAATCCACGTGCATGGTAAGCACTCCTTAATGCCCTCTTTTAATTAGTTTTTATGCATAAATATAATTATATAATAAATGTTCAATTAATTTGTTAAAAAATTATTAATTAAAATATCCAGGAAAAAGCTTATGACCAGAACTGATAGGAATCAAAGGAGAAATGACGGTAGAGATTATAGTTTTTATTTATTTACGTATATTACGTTTTACCATAAGTAATTATATTAAAAATTGATTAATGTGATAGTCAACAAATTTAATTGTTCGGTTTGTTGCTTCATGTCATACAAATACATAATGATAATAATTTGATGTTCAATAATAATAATAATAATAATAAAGAATTAACAACTATATTATATTTCGTATGAAGTCTGCAATAGGCACAAGTAACCAACACTCCCTCCATAATGATCTTGTAAAGGTCAAAGTACGACTTCATGCATATTATTTTTGGTAAGATTTATATATACGTGTAGATTTATAACCTAGAAGTAATAGGATAAGCTCTTCAAGAAAAACACGTACAGGCAAGAAAATGTCAGAATTCAAATGCGTCGGCGAGGTACTTCTATATAAATCCACTGCTGCAACCAACAAATCTATAATTTCATTGAACATAATACATTGGGAAGGAAGAGAGGGAGATACCAATACAGGAAAGACAATGGCTAGAGAATTATGTCCAGGTAATTAGTTTGCTTTAATGAGGTTTATTTGATCTTGACCCTTTTTTTTTTTTTTTTAATTAAGTGGCTATTCAAGAGAAAACAAATTCGTACCGGCAAGAAAATAGTCAGAATCTTCCTGCGTCGCGCGAGGTCTTCTATAAAGTAAATCCATGCTAGATAACCAGACGAAATCTTTTAATTCGATGTATGAACCGAATATTCTTTGCGGAATGAAAATGAGAGGGAGCGATACCAATACAGAAAACGACAAATGCTCTAGAAATTTATATTCCATCATCAAGTGGTAAATGAGTTTGCTTTAATGAGGTTCATTGATCTTCGACCCTTCTTTTTTTTTTTTTTAAATTCCCTTTTTTTTTTTTTTTTTAATTTGTTACGTGGAAATTGAAATTTGTAGGTAAGAGCTCATGGCCGGAACTGTTAGGAACAAACGGGGAAGCGGCAGCTGCTACGATAGAGAAAGAGAATACAAATGTAGATGCAATTGTGGTGAAGGAAGGAACTGGAGTGATTGAGGATTTTAGGTGCAACAGGGTGTGGGTATGGGTCAATGAATATGGTGTTGTGACTCAAGTTCCTACAGTCGGTTAATTCCATGATTTTATTTCATTTCTGAATAAATGAAATGATTTGAATTGTAATGAAATAAAAGTTCCCTTCAATATTTATGAATGCTTATCTTAATTATACTATCGAATGCATATATGAATGTGCTATTATAATTTAAAAATATTTAAATGTAAATGACAATTCTCATTATTTATTTATTTAAAATTTAGAACATTTATAGATTAACTTTAAATAATTCATATATCACACAAGTTTAATCATAAACACACAAAATGCATACACACGGATTAAGAATAACATACAATTTGGCAAAATTATATAATTTTTAAAGACGTCCTAATCTATATGACTCACGCACTTTCTACATGTGTGATATTTATTTTTATAGTTAATTGATTCTACCAATTAAGCTTAACAATTTTATTTTCTTATAAGTAATATCTATGAATGCAAAGTTAATTATTGTAATGCAAAATTTATCAGATATATAATGAAGCCAATAGGGAAAAAAAAATAAAAAATAAAATAGAGGCTAACATCTTTAACCAATTAAGCATCGATGTAAACTAATGTATGAAAAATATTACATATTGACAAAATCTTCAACTGAAAAATGACTTTATGTAAAAACAGGAGGCTACCAAAAAAAAAAAAAAAAAAAAAAAAAAAGAAAAATATGTTAAAAAAAAAAAAAAAAAAAAAAAAAAGAAATTATTGCAAAAATATTTAATAATTAAAACAATGTCGTTTCATCCGTTTCATTAGCGTAAACCCTTGACTCCAGCATCGTTTCCATCTTTCATCTCCTGGCCGACAAATCATACGTTGTGCATCTTCAGTTCTTCACTTCCTTTCCGTCTTAAAATCTTGATCCTCTCGCAGCAAAAGAAACCTCATTTTTTGCAGACTGAATTAAGGGCACTCCTTTAACTCGATTTCAAATGGTCTCCAAAAACCCCCGATCGTCTCTACGTTTTATTGCTGGTCCATCGTCGCTTTCTTCAACAATTGATTCAAGCGGTAAGCTTTCTTCCTTGTTGACTAATCGACAAACACACACTACTTCAAATCCCAAGAACTCAGATGAAGGCTCACGCAATTCCAACACTATACCGAAAATATCAATCCCCGACCCCCAAAAGTTAACCCCTCTTGAGAGATTCTTGTACATAAATTGTCATTCAGGTAATGTCACTTCCCAAGAAGCAATTCAGTTTTGTGATCACATGATTCAGATGCAACTCACTCCTGCAATCTCATCATTCAATCTTTTGTTAAGGGCTCTAGCTAAAAATAAGGATTATTCTACTGTTATTTCTGTTTGCAAAAGAATGAATTCGATTGGTTTGTTGTCATGTATCACTGTATTGAATACTTTGCTTAATAGCTGTTGCAATGTGAAAAGGGTTTGTGATGGTTTTGTGGTCTTGGCAGTGATAATCAGAAGGGGTTATAGTCCAGATATTGTGACCTTTACTTCTTTAATCTGGGGATTGTGTATGGAACATAAAATTAGTGAGGCAATTAGGCTATTCAATAAAATGGGCGTGTTTGGTTGTTGGCCTAATGCGATTACATGGAATACATTGATTAACGGGTTGTGTCGAACAGGGAACACAGTTATTGCTCTTAAGTTGCTTCCAAAGATGTTTAATGGGAATGGTGAATCTGGCCTGAGTTGTAAGCCTGATAAATTTTCTTATGGTTATATAATTGATAGTCTTTGTAAGGATGGTTTGATGGAAAAGGCGAAAGAGCTTTTTGTGCAAATGAAAGATATGGGGATTTTTCCTGACGTGTTTGTGTATAACTCACTGTTACGAGGTCTATGTTCTTTGGGTGAGTGGGAAGATGCTAAATTCTTATTCATCTAGATGGTGGATCTGGGTGTGCAACCTGATACATTTAACATGTTGAGTGGTCTTTTCCGGGCAGGTAAGGGTGAGGATGCACTGAAGCTATTTAGTAAGATGCAGCTTCGCGACAATCATGAGATGTCACTAGATTCAAATACATATAATGTCATGATCGATGGACTTTGTAAACAAGGGCAACTGCAGAAGGCAAATGATCTATTTTTGGAAATGCAGGATCATGGATGCATTCCAGATGTTGTGACCTATAATACTATGATCAGCGGATTTTGTAAAGGAGGACAACTGGAGAAGGCAAATGATCTATTTTTGAAAATGGAGGAGAAGGGCCGCGCTCCTGATGTTGTGACCTATAGTGCCTTGATCAGCGGATTTTGTAAAGAAGGGCAAATGGAGAAGGCAAATGATCTATTTTTGAAAATGGCAGAGAAAGGTTGCGTTCCAAATGCTGTGACTTATAGTACTATGATCAGCGGATTTTGTAAAAAAGGACAATTGGAGAAGGCAAATGATCTATTTTTGGAGATGGAAGAGAAAGGCTGCACTCCGAATGTTGTGACCTATAGTGCCATGATCAAGATGATCTCATTTTTGGACCGATGGAAGAGGAAGCTGCACTCCCGAATGTTGTGAACCTATAGCCATGATCAACGGCGATTTTGTGAAGACGGCAATTGGAGAAGCAAGATAAAACTGCTATTTTGAAAATGGCAGCAGCAAAGGTGCGTATTCCAACATGCTGCTGACTTAATACTAATTGATCAGGCGGATTTTGTAAAAAACAATTGGAGAAGGCAAAGATCTATTTTTGGAGAATCGGGAAGAGAAGGGCTGCCACTCGGATGTCCTGTGACCTAATAGTGCATGATCAGTGGAGTTTTGAATGGAGGACAACTTGAGAGAAGGCAAAATGAATCTATTTTGGGAAAATGGCGAGAGAAAGGCTGCATTTCCCAATGTGTGACCTATAGTTGGACCTTTGATCAGCGGATTTTGTAAAGAAGGACAAATGGAGAAGGCAAATGATCTATTTTTGAAAATGGCAGAGAAAGGTTGCGTTCCAAATGCTGTGACTTATAATACCATGATCAACGGATTTTGTAAAGAAGGACAAATGGAGAAGGCAAATGATCTATTTTTGAAAATGGCGGAGAAAGGCTGCGTTCCAAATGCTGTGACTTATATTACTATGATCAGCAGATTTTGGAAAGGAGGACAATCGGAGAAGGCAAATGATCTATTTTTGGAGATGGAAGAGAAGGGCTGCACTCCAAATGTTGCGACCTATAGTGCCATGATCAACGGATTTTGTGAAGAAGGACAACTGGAGAAGGCAAATGATCTATTTTTGAAAATGGAGGAGAAGGGGCTGCGCTCCTGATGTTGCGACCTATAATACCATGATCAGCGGATTTTGTAAAGAAGGACAACAGGACAAATGAGGAGAAGGCAAATGATTCTATTTTTGAAAAACTGGAGGAGAAGAGGCTTTGTTCCGAATGTTGTGACTATAGTGCCCATGATCAACGGATTTCTTCGTGAAGAAGGCACACCTGGAAGAAGGGCAAATGAAAATCTATATTTGAAAATGGAGGATGAGGGCTTTGGTATCCGGAATGTCTCGTGAGGCGCAGTTCAATAGTGCCATGATTACCAACGGATTTTGATGAAGAAGGACACTGAGAGAAGGCAAGATGATCTATTTTTTGAAATGGAGCGAGAGGTTTTTTCCGATGTTCTGACCCGTATCAGTTGCCATGATCAACGGATTTTGTGAAAGAAGGACAACTGGAGAAGGCAACAATGATTAATTTTATTGAAATTGGAGGAGAAGGACTTTGTTCGAAACGTGATCTATTTTTGAAAATGGAGGAGAAGGGCTTTGTTCCGAATGTTGTGACCTATAGTGCCATGATCAACGGATTTTGTGAAGAAGGACAACTGGAGAAGGCAAATGATCTATTTTTGAAAATGGAGGAGAAGGACTGCGTGCCGAATGTTGTGACCTATAGTGCCATGATCAGTGGATTTTGTAAAAAAGGGCAACTGGAGAAGGCAAATGATCTATTTCTTAAAATGGAGGATAAAGGCTGCGTTCCAAATGTTGTGACCTATAATACCATGATCAACGGATTTTGTAAAGAAGGACAAATGGAGAAGGCAAATGATCTATTTTTGAAAATGGAGGAAAAATGCTGCATTCCAGATGTGGTCACATTTAATACATTGATGCTGGGTTTATGCCAAAATAATGAGACTGTAAAAGTTATTGACCTTAACCATGAAATGTTAGCCAGAAATGTGTCACCGAATGCCTTCACATTCTCAATAGCAAAACACTTGCTGTTCTTGTTCAAAAGGCAACATAAAACTGTTGCTGTTAATTGAACAATTGTTTAATTGTAATTCGAAATGGAAGAATTTTAATTGTACTAATTTTAATATTATTGCATTTTATCTTCAAGATGGAATTATTTTTTGCATCTCCAGGACTCTTATATTCATATACATCTCGTTGCATATATAATGCTCACTGTTGAAGCTTTTGTATTGAATTTTTAGAGTCCATATAATAACATAAATTATCGGTTTACAATAACATAAATTATGGGCTGACTTAAAACGTTCCAAGCAAAGATTTATTATGTCCGTAATGATAAAACTCTCAAACTCATTTAAAAAAAAAAAATGCGAATCAGATTCCTCGTCCCATGATTTAATTGTTGTTAAATATTAAGTAAACCAAGTTTTCAAAAACCAGAAGGTTCAATAAAAGAGATTTAGTTATTATAGTTATTGAGTGTTATATCACAAACAAGAACTTTTTCGGCTAGACAAAAAGCCAGGTCCAGAAAAATTTTGATTAGTTAGTGATGGAAAAAGAAATATTCCGTATCTGTCTACCAAAAGATGGAGAAAGTTAAAGCATATTCAAGTTTCGTGATCATCTAGAAAACCCTTCTTTGTTTTTTTTTTTCTTAGATATTTGGAATAAATACAAATTAAATTCATTTCATATTTTTTAAATCATTGAAAATTTTTATTTATAAATAAAAATTTTTATTAAAATCATTAGAAAATTTTTATTTTTTTGATAAGAATAAACATTTGCTTCATTATGATTTAGCACAGTTATAAATTAAAATTTTTATTTATAAATAAAAATTTTCATTTATATTTAGCTCAGTTATAAAATTTATTTTTAATATGCAATTTCTTTAACTCGTACTTCAGATCTATTAGCTTCA